CACAAGTTGGTTATAGCTTTACAAGAGAAAAGTAAAAAACACAAATGACAATTGTCACTGAAAGTTTGTCATTTCTTTTGAGCTTTTGGCATTGCAGTTTCATTTCATATGTTGAGTTCTTGCAAAACTAAACAAATATGTACCAGTAAATTTAAATTACTGTATGTAATTCATAATTATGATTCTAAATTCCTGATATTCTGATTAATTTACTAGGACAAATAACGATATTGTTTTATCATTGTTGTATAAAATCACAGGACTGGAAAAATTGTGAACAAATGGAAAGCTCCTTTTCTTATTTTAAGTTAATAAAAAACGTAATAACAAACCCACTATGGACCTTGGACTTTTCAATCGTTACCATGCTGATAGGTGGGAAAAGCTTGAATGGCGGAATTCAGAAAGGTTTTTCTTATTTTTATTTATATATTCTATTTTCGTTTCTGGTAAACTTTTTATGCACATGATTGAATATGTGAGCCATCATATATCTTTGAACATTGTCATGAAGCAAAATTCCAAAATCTAAAAAATACAAACAAAGAAACAGATTCTCAAATTCCTACTTTTCCAACTTCCCTTTTCTTGGTCTTGTCTCAAACAATTTCAACGCATCCAAATTTACAAGTAACAGTCTGTGGTAGGAAGAGATGTAGTGCATTTAAGTTTACTTTAGGACATACATGTACTACAGTGGGGGAAGCAACAAGCCAATCATAAATCAAAGAAAACTGCAGCAGTTTCTAACAAATTTGGCCAAGGCCAAATGTAAATAAAAATGAAACTGAAAAAAGATCTTATCACTGCAATAGAGGAGCTATTATCAGTGGTAGATCTTTAAGCGCCCAAAGGAAGCAGGCCCCAGGCCCCTCTCTTTTCTTAGATCCAAAGATAGATAGGTGAGTTTTGATGGCATGATGACTGATTAAAAAATCCACTAATGGAGTCACATCTCATAACAATGCCAGAACAGTCAAAGAAATAAAATAAGGATATTATTATTAAGTGACTGTAGTTAAACTGGAGTTGGTGGAACTTCCCCCAAGTGTTTTTCCTCACTAACAATAATTTTCATGAACAAAACCGTTTAACTAGGGCATGTTGTTTGCTGATTTGACAACATCGCAAACACTGATGAAAAGATCAATTCCAGAGTTCCCATCATCCTCTAAGGGATCTGGCACATGGGTCTTTAGGACTGCCATTTCTTGTTCAGTCAGTTGGGCTTGGTTTTCAGGAACAACAATATCAACATCACCATTCATCTCTGAAATACTTGATTCAAAGTCAATGCCAAGGACTGTGACACACTAAATGTTATAGTTATGTTTAAAAAATTGTATACATAGTTAACATTAAATGACATTTTTGAACATTTTATATGATTTTTCATATTTTGTGAGAAATTGTTAATATTTGTTACATATCATTGTAAGCGTTTTTGTTTTGTTAATGTTGCATATGATTATGGATTGATTATGAACACATGTAGTTCAATCCACTGATGATTATGAGTGATTTTAATGATGACCTTAATCTAAATAAAAATGTAAGTGCTATTGTATTTACTTTATTCTTTTTATTTACAAGTCATGTTGGAGTTATTATTTGTCTTGTCTGCTGGTCTTTTGCAACATAATCAGTTTTTGTTTATAAATGTGATCAAAGAACTGTAAACATTAATTTTTAAATGAACCACAAGAAATGTTGACACACCTAAACATTTAATCCTTATATATTTTCAGTGATGACAAAGCAACTGCAAAAATGTCATAACAGAAAACAATGTAAATACTATTAACCTACATCTATCTTTGGGGCTGCCTACAATGCAAATTGTATCACATTTTAAGATTCATCTATAACACCATTTTGAAATCTCATTGGAAAGTTTCCAGAATTTGCAGGACAGACAAAAAGTGATTTATCCCAGAGTTTCCATCATCAGATAATGGATCAACATTTTCCTTCAACTGTTGATTTTCACTCTCAGTTAGCTCTAGTTCTAGCTCTGGAACAACGACATTGTTGTCAGTGATTATATCTGGAATTGGACCATTTTGGTCTATGCCATAGGATTCTATGTCAAGAACTTCTGCAGCATCAGATGTTTGTAACAGTGACATATTCCATAAGGCTAGTGGTGAGTGATGACCAGTTCTCATCCCATGATAATTCCACTGGCTGTGAAATTCATTTAGTGATGCATTAATTCTTGGAAGATATACATAATGTAATGCATATAAATGTACTTCATTTAGAGAATCAAGTACTTCATTATTTTCCATAAACTCAAAAAGATCTTTGTAAAATGTAGAACAAACTCGGTTGACCTCTGCCCACAAACGTTCTATTCTCTGATTGTGAACACTGCGTCCAGCAATGAAACTCCCCCTGTCTGATCCTCGATTATTTATCATATACCTGGCCACGTCAATGTTTTCTATTCCATGATCTCCACGGACACGCAGGGGAAGCCCATATTCATTAACACCTTTCTGAAAAAGGCCTAATGCGGTGCTTGCTTTGTTATTGTTACAACAGGTAAGGTATATAACAGCTCTACTAAAACCATCAATACAGCCATGTATGACAAATCTCCAGGAAATCAATTTGTGATTAGAATCTACATGCCACAAATAATTTGATCCAGGAACATTATACGTTCGCCTAACCAATGAGTACCTCCTTCGAACCTCCCTTCTAAGGCCATCTCATCGTTTTAAGCACTCTCTAACTCTTGCCCTTTGAACCTTTATTCCTTTCCCTTGAAGACTTCCTTTAACATAACATTCACCATTATATGGTGTTAAACTTAGAATTTGCCCAATCTCTTTGAAAAGATCTTCATGTTATCTCCGTATAGCCATCTGTTAAACCCAGCTCTACCCTCCTTCGATAAAGAGTCTTTGAAGAAAAACCCAAAAAGTTTCCTATGCTACTCNGAACCTAAGTCAAATCTTTGACTGTTTCAGTCGCAGATACGGCGAAAGTCGCATTTTATTTAATACAGTCGAATTTTATTGATTCAAACGTCGCGCTTCACATGCATTTAACTCTCACATTAGGTTCGGCACATATGAAATTCGACGTTTGAACCGGGCCTAAGTCATGATAACCCTTAAGACGTCAGTCAGCTTTTTAATATTTGACGACTAGCAGTTAATTTAGTCCAATTTTGATTAACGTATGAACTGGCTTCCGATCGAATGCTTCCTTACATATCACTCTGTTTAATGAACTTTTGTTCTCTCTTGACTGATGCCAATTGCTGAGGCGAATCCAGGGGTGGTTCGGGTGGTTCGGTCTAACCCCCTAAATTTTCCCTCAAAATGCTGGAAATCATGTTTCCGAAGACCTAATTTTCAAAATCTCCCAGGGGAGCATGCCCTCGGACAAGTCTCCGAACCTCACTTGACTGATTCGCCTCAGCGATTGTGCACTTCACAAATGGCAGCGTAGACTTTTGATAAACTCTGTACACGCTCTAACTTAAATGAGCTCTTCAGTTTCGCCTTTCGGGAAGTTATAACAAACCCTTTCAGCACATGTAAGTTTGTAATGTTCTGTTGCCCCATTTCAGTGTACGTGATAGTCTTCTAATTAAAGTATAATCTATCTGAAACTCGCTTACAAGGCAACATCAAAATCTCCCGATCATAATAGTGGTCTGAGGTTTGTAACAGAGTAGCTGTGTTAAATATGCTAATAAAGTTGAACTTCAATGACAAGGCCGCCGATGATCACAAGAGAATAAAAAATGAAACACAATGTGGAACTCAAGCCGAGTCGTTTGCTCGACGCGAACTAACCTCTCAACAATTTTAGATTTGTTTTCACAACAAGCAACAACCATTCCAGTTGGAAAGCCCTTGTTTTAGCATTCCAAAAAAGTACTGATGAAAACAAATATGTATCAAGCTTCAGAAGAAAAGACTACTATCTTCTGATTGTGTTTGTGCTTCTAAAACACTTTTCTTACGATTATGAATAACTTAGTTGCTATTCAGGTCGCTATGGTTACTCCTCGTGAAGAACAGCTGATAACAGCAACGGTCCCTTGAAGAGAATGTAAATTTTCTCGTGTCGGGCAACTTTGTGATTTCTTAACTAAGCTAGTCCAGAGTCGCATTTTTACTCCTAACGGTGCATTCCTCACAAAGAAAACATTTTCACGAATACGATTTGTCTTTATGTAAGCTATTCAGTGTGAAAAAAAATGCAGTTTTCTCTATTTTCCAATTTTAGTGTTTCATGAAAAGTGACGTGTGAACTAGTCATGAGTCGAATTTTCGGTCCTTGGTCTTCAGAAAGCAAAGCTTGCCAAGGATAATAAAGGTAGGTGAAGGGCGCGGAGTTCGAAATCAGAGAGAGACGCGTAAAACCAGAGCTCGCGCAAACATGACTGCACAAAGGTACCACGAGAGCGACCAGTGTCGATATCGAGTTCAGTGTTCTGATTGTCAGTCCTGAACAGAATTTGTTGACTGCACAGCTACTTTGACCTCAATTTGATGCGGCATGACTGCTAACATTTCGAGCGAGGCGATGTAATGAGCAAGGCAGCGGGATCGATAAGCTGAGTGGAAAAAAACGGCCGTCAAAGAAGCCAGAGATTCCGAGGAGACAGGCATCGGTGCAGAAACGAAGATGGTAGTCAAGCCAGAGGGAAGAGCGAGGAAGGGGAAACACCTTTGTAAGCCAAGAGAAACTTGCCCTACCATCGCTAGTCGGCAAGAAGGTTAGAGCTAGATGTGGAACGGTTAGATTTATGGGGGAAGCCGCAGAACTTCTTGTAGGATGCGCTGCATTAACCTTTTCCCGGGGCTGATGCAAGTGCAAACGTGGGTATGTTTGCTAATGAGAAACTTTAAAACAGACTTGGAAATCCGTGGCGAGCTGTGCCAATAGCAGAGAAGCTATGAAGTTAGGTGTAACTTCTCTTAGGGAACTTCCAGTGTCACAGCAACGGTGTAGTAGGTGAGACCAAGAAAGGTCTTTCAAGTAGAGGAAAGATAGTTCTTTTCCGGTGAGGATTCGAGATCTAAGTTCGTGAAAAGGTGTCCAAGGTGCGAGAGAGCCAGTAGTGCTTCATTATTGGACGCCTTTACGCCTCCAAAGTCGTCAATGTAGTTTACACAATCATGGTGAAACGATGTACGAAAGATGTGAGCGCTAGTATTAACTGGTACCGCAATGGTCTCCGAGTAGAGACCAAACGTTTACTCTCGTCTGTGGGAACAGTTTAGAGCAGGGAAGTTTGCATAATCGTCGGAAAGAGATTGTGGGTAGAACACCCAGCCGTTGCAGCACCATCGATTTTGGTCAGCGGAAAAGAATTGACGGTGTCATGAAAGCGGATTGCTGAAGCATGATTAGACGATTACGATGAGGGGAAAGGGCTGAGCGGTAGTTGATTCGTCAACCCGAGGCAATAAAGTAAGTAACGACGCGATCTGAATAGTGTTAAAGGGCGTATTTCAAAGAGGGAAGATTCAACTTGGACGGAACGGGAATAAGGGCGCCAAAGGCTTTAGGGAACGGCGACTTCGAGCAGAGAATAATATGGCGAAAGACGGCAGCCTGTGATTGGGTGCAAGAGAGTGAAAGTTGACCAGGTAGAGATGTTGCGAAGTTAGGACGCCTTGTTGTTGAGAAAAGTTACTGTAGGAGCCGTTACGGTTCCACTCATGGCAATAATTCCGTTACCGGTTTCCATTGTGTGCGGAGGAATGGTTGCTGTTGTTGCTCGCAGTGGGGGGTTTCGCGGAAAGACATTTTGACCCTGTAATATTGAAGAGTTCGATTTCGCGGAAATCGTACCCCCTCCCTCCCCCCCCCCAACGTCAAGTCCGGCTTCGATGTGGTCCAAGACTGCGGCGTGGAAGGACACATGGGGATATTAAGTGTTGTTGCATAAGGCTAGTGTGCGTGGGGTTTGTGATGTCAGAATATCTAGACATCCGTAAAATAAAACACTGGGACCGAAAGATCTTCAAATATTTTCTTGAGAGACCAGCTGGATCGTGTGAATGGGGCCTTTGAACAATAGGATACTGGCGCTAAATAAATAATTTTAAGATACTGTTATTATCATTGTTATTATATATTTAGATTCAATGTTGCTATCTGCATGTGGCTATTTTTATTTATTGATTGTTATTAAAACAAGGAAGCGCCCATGAGGGAAGCCTTCAAAGACACGGCAATTAATTAAACTACAGAAGGACACAACCATTTGAGAGCATTTGTAGGTTCAACGGCTTCCTGAACGAATACATCACTAACAAAGTCACGAGCTGGTCAGAAGAAGTAGCTAGCCGAGTTTGCACTATCACAGCCTCGGGCGTGCTATGCTGCTTTCACCTTTGGCCCGAAACACCGTTGGACCCATTTCCTTCGCACACTGCCTGATATTCAGGACCCACTGCAGAATGTAAGAACAGTACATAGCTGCAGTTCAAGTGAGCGGGATATTCTTGCTCTACCGAGGCGTCATGCATGGTGGCCCTGGAATCACAATCCTTTGCCATGAAGCAAATCGTGAGTATCAATCGTCAGTGAAAGTAACCATGCAATTAGTTAAGAAAATCGTACTCAAACACATGAGCCACCAGATGACTTCAATGAGTGTTAGCGCAGCAAGCAGCTCGAAGTGAGAGAGAAAAGGTGCTTAAAACTCAGTTGATCAGATCGAGAAGAGAGTATACTAAGAAAAGTATTAAGATCTCTAGATCTTGCTAGAGAAAAAGGAGCATCCATTTGGCTTTCGCTGGTGCCATTGAAAGAAATAAGTTTCAACCTGAACAAAAGGGGGTTTAGAGACGCCATCAAACTACGCTACGATTGGCCAATCGACGAAATTTCCCGCACATGCGTTTGGCGCGAAGCCTTTTCTGAGGACCATGCCATGATCTGTAAAAGCGGTGGTTTTGTAATTCAGCGCCATAATGAGTCACGCGATATCGAGGCCGAGTTGTTTAATTAGGTATGCAGTGATGTTCAGACAGAACCCGTCCAGCAAGACATTCAGGGGAGCAACTAAGTAGAGGGACAAAGAAAGCCCCGGAAGCAAGACTGGACATTCATGCACGCGGATGTTTGGGTAAGACAACCATCTGCCTTTTTAATTTTGACGAAATGCAGACCCGTATTAAGATCATGAACCTCAACAGATCTATATACAAAATGCACGAAAACGAGAAGAAGCGGCTATATAAGGAAAGAGTTATTGAAGCTGAACATGGTACGTTTACACCCCTGGTCTTCACCACAACCGGAGGAGTATGGGAAAAGGATGCAGCAGCTGATTTCACGTAAGAAAGGAGAGTGTTATGCGAAGACCATCTCATGGATTACAGTGAAAACATCTTTGTCATTATTAATATACGCTCTATTGTGTTTGAGAGGCTCAGGGACTATTGAGAGTCGCGAGCGATATTAAGAACATTGACATCCAAACAACAGAAAGTGCCATGTTCACTGAAATTCAGACTTACATTCCTTTGTATGTTTCATTTTTTTTTTCTCTTTGTAAATATGGACTTTGAGACTATTTATCGTTTACAAGTATTGGAAAGACTGAATTCCAAATAGTTGCTCAGTTTTATGTTGATAATGTTATCATTTAAGTCTTATTTTGCTTTACCTATGTAAGTTAAAAATGGATGCCCTTTTTAGGATTTGGATTTTCGTAAAGATGTGTTGTTAATTTTTAAAAATAAATCCACAATGTCAAAAGAAAGTAGGTTTAAAAAAGATTTATCATCCTCCGGCATCATCATTATGGGTAAGAGAGGTTAGAAATGGGTGAGAGGTGTCACCACAACAATATGACGTCACACATGGCCCTGTTTACCTCAACAGGCC